GATAAAACGGGAGAGAGGTCTTTCGTGAGTATGAAAATTCGATCTGGAATAGATAGTGATACTGATATATTTAGGTATCTTTTCAATGCTACAAACCTCTGGTGTAGGTATTTTCTTTATATTTTAGTCGGAAACTTGTTATAATGTAATTTATTAGTATATAGGCTATATTAGTATATGGGTTATTTGAAAACATATCAAAATCAATTCTTTTTAATATTCTTATTTTAATAATTGATTATTATTTTGAAAAAAAAAAAGAATAAAAGATAATAATAGAAAATAAGTTTTTTATAAATTTAGTATTTATATAAAAATTTCGATTATTTTATAAAGAAAATGGAAATTGTTATGATTTTTGTTACAAAAATATTATTTCTATAATAATTATTATAATAATTCTATTTTCCAATAAATATTTCAAATTTTATAATATTTGTATAATTAAATTTTCAAATTTTCAAATCTTATAAAATTATATTATTAAATAAAGAAAATGTATAATTATATATAAACGAATTTTGTATACAAAAAGGGGTGGCCTATATAATAATATAGCCTATATACTAATAAACTACATTATATAGACTTATATTTGCGAAGTATATACTAGGTACTTGTATGAATATAAGAGAGTATTCATCATGTGACATCCTAGTATTCGATCAATTGCAATTATCTCAAATACTTCTTCATCTTAGTGTTTTCAATATATCGCATATATAATGATAATTGCAGCTATGAATTCATCTCTCTCTCTCTCCATATCATCTACGTTCCCCCGCTACTACCCCCTCTACCCCAAACCCCCTAAATATCCTCTTTCATATAAAAAAACACAGCTAGCTAGGCGAGATGGATATTAATAAGTATAGACATATCATAGATCTACTGTCTGGATTTTAAATATGTTTACTGTTTACTATTTACTATCGATATTCTACACATGTAATATCCAGTATATGAACTTCCCAAAATATTCTAGGTAATACCTGGATATCTACCTATCTGATTATTTTAAACGCAATATTACGCGCGGAAATTGTTCGATTATGATTGTTTTATTTTATACTTGTAGAGGGCTTTTAAGGGGTGAGGGGTTGGAGGATGGATGTTAAATTTGGAAGTTGGATGTTGCATGTTGCATATTGAAGAATGAATGTTAAGTGTTGGAGAATGAATATTGGATTTTGATATTAGCTGTTGATATCTACTCATATTTATATCTTATGTTATAATCATTTGAATAGGTGGTTAACAGGTAAAACATAGTAAGTTATATACTATATACTTCATCCTATTTCTATTCTATACTCTAGATTCTCTACTTCAAACTTTTTACTCAATACTCGATATTACAACCTCACATATTATCTAAAGCCGAATTTGTATATCTTTGTTTCGACTCTTTAGCTTTAGTTTTGGTGTTCTTTTTTTAGGAGAAAAAGGTTCGTCGCGTTTTGAATTGATCTTATAGATGCTGGGAGCGGGGAGGAGGGGTTGTTTAATTATGGGGATGTGATGATGGGGATGTGATGATGGGGATGTGATGATGGGGATGTGATGATGGGGATGTGATGATAGGATAAGGGAGGAGATGAGAAGGGAGAAGGAAATGTATGATGAGTTGATAGATAGGTAGATATGCGTGTATGCCTATAGATAGGAATAGTTCTCTTGTATTTCTCTTTCTTTCCCTCTTTCTCTCATCAATACTACAATGAAGTGCAAGCGCGCGGAAATCTTACCTCCTAGGTACGTAAGTATATTACCTCTCTTTCTGTTTACTATTATATTCCCTTCTTACTATTTTTCAGCGTGTTAGATTTAGTCGCCATTCTCATTCTCTGTTCTGTTTCATTTTTCTTTACTTCCCTCTCCTGCCTACCACTTTGTGAGGAATTCCACCCATTGTATATACAAAGAACAAGAAGTGTAAGAAGATAATGGATATCGAATTTGAAATTTACCAGGGTACAAGTTGGAGTTGGACAGGCTAGTACCAGTTATCTCATCTATATCTACCACGCATGTACTCACAAAATTCCACCTATACAACCGCCCCATCTCCCAAAAAGTGCTCTTATATAGTATACCAATCTCATTTGAATAATATTTCCAACCGATATACACAATATGACTAGGAGATTCATTCCAGGGCACCATGATGCTCTTGAACTTCCAGATCTTGATCATGACTAAAATCTATACATCCTCCATTCTCCATTCTCCTGGCTTCACGAAAAAGACGTGCGGAGTTACTCATAGTCAAAATTACTAGTGAATTAAGATAGATGCGAGAATAATAAAGTCCAATAAGTAACATGAGGATTATTCCGTGCCCGGGTTCAGCAATCAGATTTTGATTTTGAGCTACATATATGGAAAATTTTATATCTAAGGTTATTTTTTTGACGACTATATACATATTACTATTGATAGATGTCCAATATGCATTACACAATCTTCGATAACTCGAGTATTCCAACTCACTGCTTTCAATCTTCTCAGAGTTTGTTATCTTTCCTTTCTCTGACGCCCTTTCTTATAGGGCTTTCCCCTCGATTATACGCTGTATACTGGGTGGGCTGGGCCATAGCATATAGATTGTCATTTTGTGAATAGTTGGATAAACGTTTTCTTCTAGACAATGGTGTTTTGGTTTTTGGGTTTGCTGATTAGGTTGTTTCCGGAGGAATGTGAAGATCAGTCGGTGAGAGAAAATGACTCAGAAAACATGAGATGGTAATTGAGATAAGCGATGGTGAAAAGGGGGATCTTTGAGTTTGCTAGCGAAAATCACAACTATCATTTTAAATTCCTCATTGGCGCCTGAAAATGATGCAACAGTTATCAAAGAATTGGAAAAATTCACTGGTAATATCGATGTGGTGTTATCTATCATGCTTATCTTCTAGGTTTCGATAAAAAATATCGACAGTAAACAGGTCATGTAATCGTCTCAAATTACCTTGCGATATAGCGGCTTAAATTAACCCTACCTTAGGATCTGCCACAAACAGAGTTTTCTTCTTGAATCGGTATTCCAACTGGTCTTTGTTTCATGTTCGGAATCTTGGTATTCACAGATGTAGGAAATAAAAGGAGACACTTCCTATCCACTTATATACTTCCATTTCTCATCTTCTCTCGAGACGATTGATATTTGAAGATAGAATTTGATATTACTCATCCCTCCTTTCTATCTCGATCCGAGGCTAGGTATCTAGATCGCGGATCAGGCTAGATACATCGAGCCCCGCATATTTTCTTTTTCAACTCATATCTACCATTCACTGCAACCTCCACACACTCTCCCATCCACTGATCTATAAAAAGATAAACAAATCTCAGATTTTAGGATCGATAACGAGCTAATGGGAGGAGAACCAAGCCATAAGAGAATACCGATCTATCCTTTATCTCCTCGCCACTCAGGCTCAATCTAAGGTGATGTTTTGAAAAGTTCCAAGACGTATCATTTATTTCACGGATATGTGCATCTTGCCAATTGATAGAGATAATGAATATTGGATGACAATAGTTATTAGGAATCATGACAGCGGCAATGTATATTGCAATACGGGTGACAACAATTTTTTTTTATCGTTATATATATAAGAGTGATGTTCATCAGTAGCCACGAAAATCCCAATCCTGCACTACCTGCCCGTTTTTCCGCGGGAACCACACAATGAAACAGGTAATAGTTCTAGTTTCGGAAAACAAAAGAAACCCAAAGTTTTCATGGTCGTCCATCCTCGACATCAAGTAAATTTCGAGAAGTGATTTATACTAGAGTCGGGATCGAGCGCTCAATCGCCGTGTACTTTGTTTCGCCTTCAGTTCTTTGGGATACTAAGATGTGATTGTCTACGTGATGTTATTGATTCTCTTGGGAATGGACAGAGCATCAGGATAAGCGATACGGATATAAAAGAGACCGAATATACTATTTATTCTCCTTCAATTTTACGCATTATCCCACTAAAGACGAGTTGGAAGGGTGTCATCCTTCACTATGTTGAGTTTTAGGGTCGTGGCTTGATTGGTAAAGCAAGGGAACAAAGGAATCCAATTTGTGTGAAGTGAAGGTTATGAAGTTCATGTAATTCAGTCTTGCAACGTATAACGGCAACAACAACGAATGCTTTTCGATGATGACGATATCTCGAGAGACAGCGAGAACAGCTTTTATCCCAAATTTGAGACAGCATGATATGAATAAGATAAAGTCACAAACTCACAGCAAGAATCGGATATATTGAATCAAGATCGGGGCAAGAGACAAACACTTCAACATCTCTCGATACTCAAGTTTCCAATCAAATGAATACCAATTTCTCAATGTCCAGCATACTCAAACACAAAGTTCATTGTTCTGTAGAACCAGTTTATTCTTATAGAAGTTCAATCTCCAGGCGAACTTCTGGTATACTTAGGTGCAAGGAAACATTATCGTGTCAATAATAAGTGGTGAATTTTGATTTACTACTAGATCATTGATGATCTGAAAATTCGGATATTCCCCACCGAAGGAGACTTATAAAAAGCCTGGGAAAAATATTTTGAAATTTTTAGCCTGGAAGAGGATAAGCCGACGAATTATCCATTCAGGAAACACAGCGTAGTGAAAGTAAAAGTTCTTGACAGCTTCGTGGTCTACTAAATCATTTGCGTTAAGATTTTTCTCTTACTTCACCTTGATATTCTGTACGCGTTAGAAGTATAAATGAGTAGAGGTTTACCATCAAACCCGTTAAAACTTCGAATATTTGACAGCAAACTATTGGCAGAGAACGATCTAGAATAAACCAAGCGATACATTGACAATACTGAAAACTATAGACGAAAAGAAATAAACGACGGGAAGATCTCATCTAGCTGTCTCTGATGTAAACGCTTCCCTCTGGCCCGCTTGGCTGATAGTCCCATGGAAGGAAACGTGTCTTTTAAAAGTTATGTGTCTTTGAGTGAGAGAGGATGGACCACTTGATTTTCTTATAGACGAAATTTGATTATCAGCTGTAGAATAGGAGTAGAAAACAAATTTAGTGAATGTAAAATTTTGATATTTTAATCTCTAAACATAAACCATTGTCCTTTTCCCGCTCGCAATTCTTCCTGTTGCTGGCTGAACACCACAATAACGGACTTCTTCACCCGGCTCTTACAATATCTTGTAAATTCCCTTGTGATCGTGAGCCTTCAAATTTGCATGCATTTGTTTCGCCTCAGCTGCCTGCATCATCAATGGAAAGACGTCACTCCCACTAACCACCAAACTTTTCCCTCTTGCCATCGCTATCTTATCATCCACGCTAAAGCCCATAGCCATTCCACTGGAAGGTTTATTATGCTTTGCCAATGTACTTTCATAAAGTGCAACCGCATCAGTCCATTCCTTCTCAGCACCCCACATACCGGGCAGTCCCATACTAATTCTCGCATCCAATGAGCCTAGCCAGACCGAATCAATATTTTCGCCGCATTCGGTAAGAATAGCATCGAGATTGTGAATTGCTTGGAGAGTTTCAATTTGAATTATTATGGCGGCTTGGTTATTTACGTTTTCCCAAATGGACTTGGAGGGATCGATGGTGGTGTCTGAGATACCCATTAGGTATCGAGCTGGAGGTGCTGAACGAGTACCATTTCGAACGGCGCCGAATTTGGCGGACGAGATGATTTGTTTGGCTTGTTCTACTGTATCGACTTGGGGGACGAGAATAGAGGCACCAGCATCTAGGGCATAGCCTATTGATGCGTGGCCATGGCCTGACACACTACATATTATCAGTATAGCCTTCTGAATATAATTATATGGAAACGTACCGAACGATTGCAAAACTCTTTCCCTCACTCATAAATTGAACATCATGCACCATTTGCGTCATAGTTTCCACACTCATGGATGTATGTTCCCAATCAATCCACACACAATCATAGCCCAATTGAGCTGCTACTTTTGCGATAGGTGGAGACGGTAAACCGACAAAGAAACCAACTAGTGGTGCGATCTTTCCATCGTGTGCATCGCGGATAGCATCACGAGCTCTATGAGGTTGGAGAAGGGAGGGAGCTCTGTAAGCTAAGACTCCTTCATGAGAACTGGAGGCATTACCGTTTGTTAACGAGTCAATAAGGGCGTTCATGGTGAAATGAGTTGTGAGATTGAATTATCTTGAATGAAGAAGGGATGAATGGATGAGATAGACTTCACTTTCCTTGACATCCTCCCCCTTTTATATCATTCGGACACGGCATAATCGTATGTTCATCGAACAGTTGGTAATCATTTCCTATATCACCATTATCAGAACATCGCTGCATCCATCCCTCTCGTAACACAACTGTTGATATCCAACAATAATTGACGTAGAGTGGGCCCATGCTCATGTTCAAGTGCTTACAATAGCGTCGTTACGAGGTACGTACATAGTGAGACTGTCGTTAGTGTGTGGGGCGTTGGATTATAGATTTAGGGTGTGGTCCGCCATGCGGTGGAATTCCGAGTGGCTAGAGACGCTAGAGATCCCTGTTTGATGTGCTGATACTCATAGTTATTGATAGCCTGAAAGACAAGTGCTTACGATAGATATTTTATATTGCAAACGATTCTCAGTTGGGTAAAAGGTATGCACGCTGAGTGATTATGAATAAGACGATGATTAAATGATCGGTCATTTTGTTGCACAACATATGAACTTGGAATAGACAATTAGTTCGTCACTTGGCTTATTTGGTTCGAATTCATTCGCTGCAAACATTGTTCTTCGTCCCGTGCATCAGCCCTACCTAGCAATGGTCCAGAACGTTACACGATCTGAGCCACTTCTATCACTTTGTAAGCCTTTGATTAATCAAACTACTAACCTTATCATATCTCACCGCCCAGATACATCGTATATTGTCTGAGATTCCCCAAAATATTAGTGTTCCAGGGTTTGACATGTATCAATCGTGTGCTAAGCAAATCATAAGGATACAATTATGCGTGGGGCAATAACTGCCACGGAGCACTGCTTGCCGATTCGCTTACCAACCTCATCTTGAGCACCCCATTCCCATTCACATGCTCGAGACATGCTAATAGGCTTTCTATAAATATTTGCCTTGTCATCCACACAGTCATCGTGGAGCCCTAACTCCACAATCACCTTGACTCCATCTAAGAGTTCAGAAACATGGAGAAACGAAGAGAGCCCGGAGTCCGCGGTAAAGTATAGTCACTCCCCCATGCATGTACAAGCTTAATACAACGCCATTGTTACTCTACGGTGGGGAATCAGTACTCTATTGGGGCATTATGGGAAGGTACAAGTATCTGAAGACCTCCACCTCCGCCGAGGAACGGAAACGGTATCAGATTTTCAAGTCGTATTTGCCATTGTGTCAGCGGGGTTAATCGGTCGAATGGTGGGTTATCTCCATATTTATAGTAGGTCTTCGGAATTGCTGTTTGTTTTATTTCCATTCCCGATCCAATCTTGATGTCATGCTTTCCATCCTTTATAGACGAACGCTTTCAAACTTGCTCTTGAATGAGACCATTGGTGACTGGCTTGCGGTCCAATACGATCTTGACATCTCCAGCAAGAGTGATAATATATCCACAATTAATACGTTGCCAATGCCTCTTTTCATCATAATATCGGAACCTCGACGCAGAGAAACGTGTTTAGAAATAAAGTTCCCAACACTCCAAGCTAAGAGCGTTGAGTAGAATGGTGGAAGAATCTCATCGAGCAAATTGATGAATGCCGACGATGACTTTGAGAGCGGCTGTGCAAGTGGGGCAGTAAAAAGCAGCTCCGGTGGGATCATGAATATATCTCTAGAGTTGAAGGCAGAATGTGGGTGGAAGATTCTATCTTCTTGAAGGTCAAACCTGGACCTTCTTTTCACCAAGAGTAGAGACATTTTCACGCCCATGCTCTCTTTCATTCTTGCTTAGGACTACACAACAGTTCAACAACCAAAAGTCTCCAGAGCAAGCTCATTTACACAGACAAAGTTTAGAACCAACAAATGAACTATAAAGTCATATTTGACCGTGATATGGACTTGCGATGAGGGTATAACTTAGCCGTCATGAACTGTATGCATGATGCAGGAGCCTACTTGAGGTATGCAGCTAATAGCGTATTACATGTTATTGTCCATCTTGTTGTACCATATATAGGATACCGTGGTTGATATTCACTTTCGAAAGATGGATGTATCAAACTGATCAATGACAATGATAATGCTCCATCAAGGCTAGCGATGTTACACTCCCGCTATCAAAATGTTCTGTCCTTTCGTGTAGAAGTCTATCAATCGAAATCAGCTTTCCGGGGCATATTACGAACTTCTAGCAATTGACCTCAATAAAGAATGCATGGCGAAGTCATCAAGCCTGCCTGGTGATGCGGAAGTATAACATTTACCTAGAGAGGTCAAAGTTGAGGAGTACATGTTATTTGTACTTTCCAACCTTCCTTTTCGGTCCCGAGTGGGAACGACTTAGCGAATCTCGAAGTGCCGCATCACATCTTTAGTTGATATTGGAGAAGTACATAACTTGGGCTGTATTGCCTTTCATACGTTCCTCAATATTGTACGTACCACAGCGAAAGAATGAGGCAAGATCTGTCTTTGAGATGGGCAAGATGAAATATCCCAATCTGGCACAATGCTTAGCACAAAGATAGGTCGGTCCTCAATTTTCATATCATCTACATCAGTGATGGTGTATAGTCGTGGCAACAATATGGCTCAAAATAGCGACAACGAGGAGGTTAGTAAAGCATACAGTCGCACTTAGATCAGATGACTGAGGGGCAGGAAGAAGCGCGTAGGTTTAATCAAAATATGACTTGATTTGCGTCTTCGCTGGAAAATACAGCTCACCATACTTGACTCCAAGTGTGTCTTCATTCGTTTCGCATTAGTTGAAGCAGGCGGATTATCCTATGGGACAGTTAATCACGTTGTACGTTAGCGAACAACCATAGTTTTATGGGGCGGAGATTTCTGAGTATAAAAGTCGTAGTTGCAACGATGGAAGACTATGTATGCATATTCCATCAACTCAAACGTAACATAGCAATGCAGTTCTACTTTCTGTGAGTAATACGACAGTGAAAGTAACCTATTAATCTTCCCAGAGAACTCTTACGTTGACCCCAACAACTAGAATGAGGGTTTCCGACCTTTGCTTCTGTATTCACTTGCAGACTATGGTGAGAACAGAAAGTGACTGATGAAGAAACACGGAGTGTCATACCTTCGACAACATTGAAAAGTTACTAACAATGCCAGTATTTGTGCCACATACATCCCAAACACACGGTTCTAGCTAGAATATAATAGTATCTTCATTCAACTACAACCCCAGAAAAGATAGATATCCTTAACCTAGGCACTCTAGTACGTCGTTGAATCCGTTGAAAGTCGATTTCTTCGCTCGGATCTACACACAAAGAAATCGGGATCTCAAGCAATGGGAGATATTTATATACTGACATGGGGCTAGCTAGTGTAGATACGAGTGAATTTACAAGTTCAGCAAGTGGAGGCTAAATTCAAAAATCATGAGACACGAGGCGTGATAGTATCAGGGAAGAGCATCAGATTTCCACACCTTTTGTAGCTTTCATACTTAAATGCAAGGGCTAATCAAGAAGTCAAGAATACAGTGGGAACACCCTGTGCAGACGGTCACGAAACAATAGTCGACATACACTGGTCATCCACATCGAGGGCCTTAATTTGGTAACGAATCTGTGTGTAATGCGGGTAGAAGTCGCCTCTTGTACGACGGTTATGCTACTGATAGTAGGAATAAATACAATATGAGGGTAAGGAATTCGACTGGTAGCAAGCCGGAAGAATGACAATCAAGTATACACCTACTAGCGATCAAAATAGTGATAACAAGAAATTCAATGCCATTACCAAAAACTATTAGCATTCAACTTGGATCCCAGTGGACCTCGGAGAAGATGTGGGAAAGTGAAGCAGCATATACGTAGCAGGGTGACATGAGAAAAAGTGGCAAGGAAACACAGGAGGTAGATATGAAGACCAGGTAGAAATCTTTTTCGGTTTGCGTGAGGTATGCAAATATATTCGAATCTTTTAAATTGCTGCTGAGTAGATGGAGACATAAAGCCAACTCGCTTGCGGATAAGTGTATCTTGTGTTAAATACTATGAATGTAATAGTAGGAGTTTCTGACTTCACTACCTATTTATAACAGGGGATTTGTGAAATTAATCATCACTGCTCTCGAAATGGAGAAAGCGAGATAGGTCAGGATCAGTAAGTGACATGCCATGATCAAATTTAAGAGCGAGGTTGAACTAAATATTGAAATAGTTCATTTGAAACTTGTGAACTTTGGGCTCAGTTCAAGTGGTGGAAGACATAATCTGGAGCGTACGACCAAATTGTAAGGTCCCAACCTAAGTCGAATCAAACTAGAAATATCGAAAGGAACTGATGGGCGGATTTTAGTTCCAGCGATCTCTCTCCATGAATAGACCTCTTCCGTAACGAGCAATCACTACCAGTGTCTGACAAGGGAGCAAAATTCGAAAAACACCAACAAGTCAAAAGTATCACGAATGGAAGCAAAATATGACAACAACTCCATAATCCGGGTATCAAAAAATATACAGCGTCATAAATCGTGAACTCAAATGGAGATACTCATCCCACCATGCTCAGAGTCAGTACCTGGGAGCTCATCTTAATAATCCTCCTAGATCCCTTTCCATCCCAGTTACCCTCTCTTCTAATGCCTTCTTCTTCATTTCCAGCTCCCTGATCTCCCTCTCCTCTCTCCTCAAGTCTTCATCCGTAATCTCTATCTCCGATGGCTCCTCGTTCACCTGCTGATTGTCCTCCTCGCCACTCTCAGTATCATTCCCTCTGTTCATCCTCTCTAATTCTCTTGTCTGTTTCTGCACCTTCTGTTCGTGCCGCTTCACGCTCTCTCTTAATTGCGCATATCTACTGCGTAAACCTCTTATTCTCTCTGGAACCCCTTGTACAGGATATACTCCATTCAATTTCTCCGCTCCCTTCAATAAAACTTCGATATCAATTTCCCCCTTCCCAGTCTCAGTTTTGCGAACTTGAGAATGCAACTCTGCGCCAAGTACAGCAGCAACAGCGGTATTTCGCCGAGGTGCTCGACCGTTAGGACCAGACGCAGGAGCTACTTCGCCGGATGTTACATTGAAGACTGTTTGGCGGCGGGACTTGGATGGTTTGGGCTCGGGAGCTATCTGGGTTGGAGGTGGTG